ACTGACTTTTTACCTTGGGCAACAACTTCAAACCTACAGTAGGGATTTTTAAGAGCAGAAACACCAAACATTATAAGAGGACTACAGAAGATTACATTTGACGGGTGTTTGATACTCAGGTGAACAACAAATGTTACCTTTCTTATCTATGACCACGCTTTGTGGGGCGATTCAGTCAATTTCTTTAGGTCCTGTCATCTGCAAAAGTGGGAATCATATCTAAATTACAGACTGATGTCAGAGTTAAATAAAATAACCAAGTCTATGGAAGTGCTTTGTAAACTGGAAAATGATTGAAATATAAGAGACACTTTCTCTCATCTAAATTAGCACGGCTGCCAGTCTGTACGCCTAGCCTGCTGTTTTTCCTCATAGTATTTATCGCTGCTGAAATTGATTGATGTATGTATTTTTATTGTCTTTTTCCAAGAGGGCAGGAGCTTTATTTATTGTTAGATCCCCAGGAACCTCTTGGCACATAGTGTGTACAAGAAAAATTTGTCGGATGAATGAGTAGTATATGGTTTCACCGCTCTTCTTGCTATTGCAAAATTGAATTATTTCCGCTCTTACTTTTACAGTGATAATCTCCACTCTTCCTGCTACTCAGAGCCTCACAATCTACGATCTCCTTCTGCCTGTGTTTGATTCATTAACTTCTGTATTCGTTCACTATGCGTTAAGTGAATGTATTAAGCGAACAAGATTCTCCTAAGTTCTTCTTTGCTCCTGTGAGGTCAGCACTTCTGGGATGCTTTCTTAACATCAGGTAATCACAAAGGCATTGAAACCCAGCCTGCTTATCTCATCATGAGACTATCTACCGGCCCATGAACTTGAGCAGGGAATTAAATATGGCAACTTTAACACTTAACTGCACAAGAAAGGCATTGTGATCTGTTGATTTGAATAGATGTATTTGCTCTTTCATTGTTCCCAGCTCTGTTGTTATCACCTCCGAGCCATTTCCAATTCTAGGCTTTTACTTATTTGCAGGGTCTTCTGCTGACTCGGGAACTTTGGCAATAATTACATCAAATGTTATCCAGCATGGTAACCAAGAGTCTTTTTAATCAGCATTATAATTCTTATATTGAATATTACTTAAAGCAGATTTTATCTTTTATCTGAAAGAAAATGCAACTTCATAAATATTTAACCTCTTGGGAGACTTGTCCACACTAAATAAGATAACATTGTGTGTTAATAAACTTACTGTGGAATCTGTGCTCATTTCCTCTTGGAGAGAAAAATAATTAAATTAAAAAAACATAAAAATTGCCCTTAAAGTCAGGACTACTCACTGTTCTCCATGCATAACATGGCATTTTCTACTTCCATAATATTGCCTTGCTTTATTATTTGTGCAAGCAATTCCCTCAGCCTCAAAATGCTCTTTTTCCTTATCTTATTATAGATTGCTTACTGGTCTTTTATAGTTAAACATCATGTCCTCCATAAAATTTTCTTCAGTGCTTCAAATGGAGTTATTGTCTCCTTCCCTTATGATTGTATAGCTCTTCCTTTTTTCCCCCCAATAATTAAAAAAAAAGGCTTTTCATTGAAGAATCCTTTCTAGGCAAGAGTATATAGGGAATCCATCTTGGCTAAACACATCATACATTTTAACTATTACATTATGTGTCTCAAGGGTAGCCACAGTAACTGTGCTCATAAGACTACTACCTGAAAGTTGATAATCATAGGAATTCATTTTTAAAGCAGTTTACTAGTCATGAGGTGACCAGCATTCTGTTTGTCCCCTGTCATTCTCAAAAGTGTCCTAGATTGGAGCTGCACCATATGGTGTTATTACTAATGCAAGAGCCTTTGCATAATGTGTATTGTTTAATTGGTTGGCAGCTTAAAGTTAGAAGTTATGTCATTTCATATTTTCTCTCAGTGTCAGATTTTCATGACTAACTGCTTTAGTCATTCTGGGTGGTAGAGCCAAGCCCCTTATTTAGCCCTGTCGGTGAGAGAAGCCCACAGCTATGGATACATCAGCATCCTTGGGGGGGGGAGCTTTGACACCCCCTTGCTCTAGACACTGCACACCACATTGGCTCAGTTTCCTCAGGTGTAAAAAAACACAATAAAGGCCACCTCTCAACGCTGTGGGGATCATTTAATGGGATAAAATGCACATGAAAGACACACTATGAACAGGGAAATGCTCTCCCGTGTGGGCTACTGGTAGCACTCCAGAGTGTTCGGGTGAGTTCGTGCCCTTCTTCAGATCTCAGCATCATTTCTGTTTAATTACACATTTTTAGAATGATCAAACCTTACCTTTGCTACCTGCTTCTTTGAGAGAAGGATGAACAGCTTCTGCACGGTCATGTGAGAAAAGATGGTTTTAGATTCAGAGGATGTTCTAGGGAAATGGATGTGATCCTGAGGGCCAGGAAGGGGCAGGAATGGAGAGCCAGGTGGGGGTTGCGGCTGCTCCATCTGGATGGAAGGCACACGGAGGCGGGGGTGGGGTTGGGGGGGGGCTATGCCATGACTCCTGCTCACCTGGTAAGGTGGAGTTACTTGCTGGCTCACATGCTGGTGCACGTGGCGTGGTGCCCCCCGGGGGACTAAGCTGCAGCTCGAGCCCACCCACTTGGCTCTTTAAGCAACCTTTCTCACCCAGCCCTGGATGGACACTGTACCTAGGACAAAAGCTGCCTCTGAACCTTTCATTATTGAGGGTTATTTTCCTCTCTGGGAAGAAACATAGAAGTCCCAGTTTAATCATCTCTTTGGCAGGTAGGGCCAAGGTTTCCCGTTAATTAATCTTTAATGTCATTAATTGGCTGTCTGTGGGGTGACAGGGAAAGGAGTAAACACTGTTTGCAAATCAATTGAATTCTCTTCTGAACCGGCATTTAGTTTTCAGGGTGAATAAAAACAATTTCAAGCCTTTCACTGGCTGGACTTCCGGTTCCTGGCCAATAAGATTATTGAAACCAAAAGGAGAAAAAAAATATTCAGACAAAGATCTCTCTTGCAGATGTGCTAATTGAAGGTTTTCTTTGCCACCAGCGCCTCCTTTTGAAATTGGCTCATTGATTTTCGCCTCTGTGGTCTATTTAAATCAAAATCTCTATCCCATGCAGACTTACTGATGAGCCATTGGGTTGGGGTCACCTGCTGTCCCAACCCCTCTGGCAGGGACTCAGTATGGTAGGGAATAACAGTCCCCAAAGCGGGGGCCCTGGGCCAGCAGGGGCAGCATCACCTGGAGTCTGTTAGAAACACAAATCTTTAAGCCCCACCCCAAGCGAGCGCATCAGAACCTCAGAGGTGGGGCCATGATTTGTGTTTTAATTTGTGTGGGAACCGCTGGTATAAAGCAAGGCTGTGTCCACTTCATTTGAGCAGGAGGGCATTGTTCACTCTCCCCACTCAGGGAATCTACTCGATGAGGGGAAATGTAAGAGATGACTTGTTTAATGGGGTGACTCTACTTGTCTCCTTGATAAAATGTTGTGAGAAGTAAATTGCTTTTTCTCGGCCTCAAATACCCCTGTAACATTTGGCCTTGAGTAGTTTCCGACCTCTGGCAGTGGAAATGGCCACTGCAATTTGTTCAATTTCTGATGTAGTTCCTAGTTTACTGAGGCAAAGAATTAGGGCCAGGGAGGTGGTCTCGAAGGAGACAAGAAGCAGAGAGCAAACTGCTCCACATGAAGTTGAAAATTCTCCCAAATTGAAAATGGCGCTCTGCCGAGGAAAGAAGAGGGGCTGAGTGTTGACCTTGGAAAATTGTTAATACTTCCAGGTCCCTGTGAGAGGTGGCAAAGATGCTGAGAATGGCACCTTGCTGGCTCGAGGTAGAGACTAGAAAGGAACAGAGCTTTTGCACCCTGGCTAGGAGGAATGAACACCTCTCTCTGGGATGATCCATGTCACCTTGATGAATCAAGTCCATCTGGAAAGGAACAGATAGAAAGCCCAATAGAATCAACTCTTCTGTCAGGTGAAGAAACCAAGTCTCAGAGTTCACCCCACTGCTCTGACTTCCCTCAGATCCTTTTCTAGGCTTGTTGAGCTGTGTTAACATTTTTATCTTTGCAAGCATCCCAGGACCCAAAGCCAATGTCGTGTTTACAATTAGAAAGCAGTGACCCTTAACCAATAAGACTATTTCAGACTCCTAACAGGCAGGGACAAGAGTCACATAGTTCTCCTGATTAGAGGTAGATAAATGGAGAACCTGGGGCATTAGAATTAACTTCAGTGTTTATCTACTCCTTGTAACTTATTAAGAAGCCAAGGACTGTAAGGGTGGAGTGTGAGGGATTGTATGACAGATTGTTGAAAGGGATATATTAATAGCAAATGAGAACAGGTCATTTTGAATAGCCTTCTTATATACTGCTAAATTTAGGATCTTGAAATTTTCCTTCTTCTCTTCCTCTTTTCTCCCTCACTTCTCCCTCTTCTCCCTTCTCCTCCTCTTTTTTCTTTAATTGCCAAAGCTCTGCATGGATACAAACAGATAAAGGTAAGGCCTCTATAAAATCCCCTTCCAGGGAAATAGATTGCTCTAGCCTTATATTGGCATAGCTTATAAATATTTCTTCGTAGAACATGGAAGCCCATTTAAAGGTATGTATCCTGTGGCAGATCCTTTGATTAAATATGGGAAAATCAAATTTATTTTATGATAGCTCATATACCTTAGAAGGAGTCCTCACTTGGAGAGTACCATGTTGAATGAAATGTATAAATGTCAGAAAGGTGTTCTTGCTTCGCATGGTCTTGTGATTGTTGATGGCACTCTGAAGCCAGAGTGAACCCTACAATAACTAGTTGTATATTATACCCCAACAGTAAGTAGTTGTTGGGTGTAGTCTATACTTGAGATGGGGCATAACCTTGAATGAGCAAACTCTCACTGGCTGACAGTAATTCCTGGAGAATTCACACTTCAGCTGACATTAGGAAATGTACCTTGGCAGCTGGGAGAAAGTGTAACTCAGTCTTTTTTTTTTTTTTTTAACTGCAAAAAAAAAGGCTACATCTTTATTGAAATAAAATAATCCAGTGAGTGTGTCTGAGAAAGCACAAATCAGTTGGTTAGGGCAATAAGAGCCTCTACCACGTTGCCCATGTGTTCCCTCAAGCTCCGTTCTGCTGCTGCTCTTGAGATCTCCATCTCTGTCATTATCAGCTCCAGATCTTCCTTCTTAATGGTGACTTTGGCCAATTCCTTCTCCCGCTCCTGTTTGGCTTTCTGCTCCCGGGACCGTCTGTCTCCAATCACGGACATGGCCGTCTCCAGGTTGGAACTCTGGATCTCCTTCTCCTCCGCGTAGTCGGTGACTCTCTCCAGGTCCGCCGCACCGCTGTCATGCTTCCGTGGCTTCTCCGGAGGCCGCTCCGGGCCGCTGGTCTCGGTCTCCAACTCCAGCTCCACATCCCCCTCGGTAGCCATATCGATCCCACCGTGCCGCTGCCGTAACTCAGTCTTAATGAGGGTATCCTGGTGCTACACCCCAGCAACAACTACAGTCCACCTCCACTGCTTGGAACCATTTGCTGTATGTAAGTTCAGCCTATCTGGGAACAGCTTCTCTAGGATTCTGGTTGATCTCCTTTTTTTTTTTTTTTTTTTAGAGCCGAGAGGTCTCACATTTATTACTGAACCAACCTACTGGTGCACAGGCATAGTCAGAGAGAAAAATCATTTCCATGATAAGACAAGTCTATGGCCAGGTAGGAAGGATGTTTACAGAATGATAGAACACATGATCTTCACGCAGCTTAATTAAATATGTATGCCAATTAGGTGTGTCATCTCATGATGTGTGATGCCTTACAGACCCAGCTTGGTTCTTCTCCAGTGCCTCCTTTTGGAGTTGTACCTGATCTTATTACCAGTTTTCATCCGAATCCACTGGGGAATGGGACGATTCTGCTTTTGTTTCTTGGCCAGGAATCGCTTGATTCTGAAAGTCTTGTGAGAAGACATGGCGAGAAGCAGCCAGCCACGCAGAGCAGGATGGCGGCGAAAAGGAGACGTTGATCTCCTTTTGTGGGGAAATTTCTGAGGGTAACACTGATGGCACAAATTACAGCCCCCATGGCTACGATGGTGCTTGGGGCTACAACTAATGCTCTTCATCTTCCTCCTGCATGGTCCATTGTGACCCCCCTTGTTCTCTTCTAGAACCTCCCCTATCATGGCCTCCCTGATGAGGTGACCCAGACACTCATCCCTGAGGGTTCTGAGCCATGATCACTATGTTCTTCACAGGCCATGAATGCTTCTCTTGCCCATTTAGCGTTACAGTTGGACAGGAGATCATTAAAAACTCCAGTGGATCAACTAGGTTCCCGGCATACTTCCTCCTACCTCCATTGTGTAACAATAGTCCAACATCCTCCTGAAGATCCCAGGGTCAATTATTCCTTTACCATAATGAACTTTCCTTGCAATCTGGTCTCTCAGCACAAGGAACCTAAAGTGATAGGGCAGCAGCCAGAGCTTACTGTTGAATGGGACTCTCACTGTATCTCCTGGTAGAAGCATCCTCCCTGTGGGAATCAGATCTTCTAGACTCAAGAGCTACATTTGTGTGGATGAGAGAGAAAAACTCCTCAAGTGGCTCACTGGAAGTGAAAGGAAGTAGATTTGCTCCTACTTTTACTCCTTAGTTCTCAGACTTATATATTCTGCCTATTGGAGCACAGAACCATACCATGGATGTAGGGCGTATATGAGGTCTTGGAGGGTGGTACCCATCTTTGAGTGTATCATCTTCAAGCCAGCACCTCAGTTGTGTCTTCAGAGGGTTGTCCCATGGCTCTATTATGCCTGCAGTTTCTTGGTGGTGTGGTATAAGACAGACGGATCCTATGATTTCATGTCAACTGTTTCACCCCCCCCTTTTTAAAAAATTTTATTTATTTGTCAGAGAGAGAGAGAGAGAGCAAGCAAAAGGAGTGGCAGGCAGAGGGAGAAGTAGGCTCCCTGCTGAGCAGGGAGCCTGATGCAGGACTAGATCTCAGGACCCTAGGATCATGACCTGAGCCGAAGGCAAATGCTTAACTGACTGAGCCACCAAGGCGTCCCTGCCTCACCTCCTTTGCTGTAAAGTCAGACCTTTGGTCTCATGAAATGTTGAGGAGGATCCTGAATCAGTAGATCAAACATTTTTTTTAAATCATCATGTATTGGAGCTACTAGACCCTGCAGTCAGAAGGGTAAACCTATACTCAGAATGTGTCAATTTCAGTTACTATGAATGAAAGGAATTTCAACCCTCATTGGAGCTCCACTGTAATTATAGTTAATTCTTGAGCCTGATCCTCAGGCTTTTCTGCCACCTGGCTACAGGAGTGGTGCATTTTTTTATATGCTGCCAAGGAGGTCTTCTATCTTTCATTCTTTGTCTTAAATTAGTAATCACCATCAGCTTTTTCTTGTCTTTCTCAGGTTCATCAAGAGCCCCAGCAACAATCATCAAATTTCATTGTTTATAATTGCTATCTCTCAGAAATCCTCAAACACCTGTGATACTGTACCGACCTTACATTTACCATGGACACCAGTACATTTGCTTCTGCCTGCATTCTATCCTGGCTCACCCGCAGTGAAGGTTTTAACAGTCATCTCGTGACAACAAACAGAGAGACTACTAGTTCCAGCCCAACCCCCAGTGATGTTACCCTCATTACCAGCCAGCAGGCAAGCTCTATAACTCCAAAAACCCCATTTTAGTTTCTGTTTCCCAGGACCCATCCTGGCAGCAATGCCATATATCGACTCCCCTGGGAAAGTCTTCTCGGAGACTTTGAAAGGAACATCTATGTGCAGATGGTTTATTGGATAGTTTGCTAAGGAATATTACCTGTGAGGGAGTGAGAGATATAAGACTGGGCAAGAGAGAGGTTGAATTGCACTGTAGGTGCAACAGGTAATTTTCCAGAAGGAAAATTCAACATTACCAACAGAAAAGGGCATTACTGCTAGGCAGCCCAAAGCAGCAAATATCTAATAACAATCTTCCCTAAGAATACTTTCCATTTCATCTTCTTGAGAAGCATATTTTATACAGGTTATAAGTTATAGATACTTATTTACCGTTAGCTCTTCTGTATCACGATAGATGGGTGCATGTGAGTGTGTGTGTGTTTGTGCATGTACATCTGCTCCTATTTACATGAACGTCAAGCCACCTTTTGGATTTCAAACCAAGTGGAAGCAAAACACTTTGGATTGGAGTTTTTCTATTTACTTGTGTTTGCTTGTGGGGGAAGACTCTCTAAGTTAATTATGCTTGCTTTTCCAAGAGAATAATATGCTCTCAGTCTGGGATAATTAGGCAGCTTAATTAACCTTTAAAAAAAAAGCAAAACATAGCTTTATAGTAGCTATACCCCCTTCATTAGGTTAGTTTGGCTCGTCTTTACTGGCATAGTTAATATTGCTGATTTGCATATCTTTTCCCCTGGTATTTAGCACCATAACTTGTAATGAAAACACATTTTAGAGCGCACTAGAGATTGAGTTAATGGAATTGGCTATATCACAAGCAGAGATTCTTCCAGTGGCTATGGTTCTATCTTCATATTTACTACAAGGCACTTAAAGGTATAATTTAAAGTGGGGAAAGCTTTTTGAGTAATCACCTTTTTAATAATTAGCTTAAGAATATTTTGGAAACTGTCTCTTGCAGCACTTTAATAATGTAAAGTAAGCTATTTCTGGAAATGTTAACGGAAAGTAAGCTCCTTGGAGATTGCAGAGTTAAAAGATCTGTAAGAATGGCTATTAATTATGGCCCAAAGCCTTCTTTCTGTTATTAGGCAACAGTTATAAAGCAAGATAATGCAACATTCAGAATTCACAGTACCTTTCCCATTAGACACAGAGATAATCTCAGCTAACTCGGAATTCAGGCATTGGTAAAAGCAGGCCTGTCACAAATGGAAGAACTTTTACCCTATACCCCTGCTGTATCTGCTTGCAATTTCCTTTGGCTTAATGAGGGGGCATGCAAAAAATACTTAGGATTAAATTCACAAATACACCCTACTCAATCATTCCAGTATTAAAACACTAAAATTACTATACTTTTCAGGACCTACTTTTTCTTTTACTATATCAGAGAAAAGCACACATTTCACAGTATCAGTGCAGAAATGCCTGTGAACTCTGGGATGTGCACCTGCCCACTTGTGACAAGATGGAAGTGTTCTCAGCCTCAACCCTTGTCTTTCCCCATCCCCCATGCATCCTGGTTCCATATAAGCATTCTCTCCTTGAACAGAATTCTGAGAACTGCATTTGGGATGCATCTTAAATATGCCCAATAGGTCCTGTCTTTTGTTTCCATCTCCTGCACAACCAAACTTGTGATAAGACATCAGTTCCCAGAAATCTGACGGATTCACCCACCAGGGGCTCCCCCGACCTTTTGTTTTGCCTAGAAGCAGGAGTATATTCTGCTTGTGGTCACAGGGTGTTTTTGACGTTGGTTTCTCTGCATCTTGGTTTTGACAGATCATTGGAATCACAGGTGGTATCTAACAGGGCTATTTTTATACAGTGCTTCCTGCCTAAGTGGGCCTTGCTCATTTCAAAGAAACGCTCCAAGTGATCTGCTAAAGCCTAAACATTGTGCAGGAAAAATATATTACGGTTTAATAGAGAGTCTGGACAAATATAAGACAGCTGTGAAGGCAGAAAAGAGAAAGGGTCTGACAACAGCTTTCAGACTGTTCTGCTTATCTATACCTCCAACTATTTTAAAATAGTAAATCCTTCTTCTGGACACACTTCTACCTGCCATTTGTCCTCTCCATAGGTGAGCTTTTTTAAACAAGAGGGCTCCTTTACGATCAACTAATATTTGTTCTTCCTTCTTCTACTTAGTGGCACAAACTCCAGAGATTCGTTATTTTAGAAAAGTTTTAATAAGTTTGTCAACAACAAAGGCATTGCCTAATCTCATTGTGGATGTATCAATGGCTGTACATGTGTGAAATTAAGTCGATTGAGTTGATTCCTGCCAGCCTACCTATTTTTATCTTTAGACGACTTTCCCCATCATACAACCCATTAATGGCTACTATCAAGGGCTTACTGTAGTATATAAGACACCAGCAGTGTCCCTTTGATAGCTCTTCAAATGCTCTGGGCACCAGGATCAGAAAGTCAGATTTAATTGTTTACAAGATTTATCCCAAGCAAGGGAAATCTGAGTGAAAAAAACCTTGTAATCTTGGTGGAAAAGAGGCTTTATGGTATCACACCAGGAGCTCTTCCAGCACCTGCTACAGAAGCACCTGTAAATGTATAGCGTGCATTAGAATCAAGAGTGATTCAGGACAGAAATGAAAAGTGAAAAAACCAAAAATGTCAGTCCCTCAATCACCATCAAGAATTGGTTAACCGAGGAGCCCTTCTCAACTATCCTTTTGGATTGTTTGAAAACAAGTATATA